TCTCCCCTGCCGCCTCAGGAGGAAAGGGAATAACTCGAGAGCTACAAGAACTGTCCACACACCCCAAACCCCCCTCTCTCCCTCTTTGGCCGGCTCTCCCATCCAGTATCTGGAGCGCCAGAGCCGCTGTCATGCCTCGCTTTCTCGCAGAGACGACCGAGGGGCGGCCAGGAGGGAGGGAAGGGGGAGGAGGCGGGTAGCACAGGCTGGCGAGCGGGCAAGGCCGAGCTGCACGCATCATCATCGGGCGGAGGGAAGCGCTGCCTCTAATAGAGAAAACGGGGCGGGCAGTTTCCGTCCTCGCTCCGCCGCCGTTTCCTTCCTTCCCTCCCTCCCTCCGTCCCTCTCTCCTCCCCCCTCTCTCTACTGTACCTACTGTATGCGCGCCTTTCCCGTGCCCTCATTGGCACCCGCGCCGTCTCTCTCTCTCTCGACCTTTTCGTCCCCAGTCCAGCGTCGCATACAACAGGTTTTTGTTTCTTTTCTTTTTTTCCTCCAATCTCCTCCCTCTCTCCCTCCCGCCCTGGCCCGTGTCTCTACACGTGCGAACTGGAGAAGCCTGAACCGGGGTCGCTTTCTAAAGTTCATAAGGCTGCTCTGGGTGAGAAAACAGCGAAGGCAAAAGAGAGGCGAAATAAAGGCTTCGTGGCTTTTATTAAATTCTCTGTGCGTGCTTTTCAAATGGCAGGTGCCCCTTGTTTATGAGGGGGAAATAGAATTTGAAAGGAATAGCGAGAAAGGAACGACACGGGTCCGTGTGTCATGGCAGGCTTTTTCGGTGGCTTCTGAGAGGCCAAGGTGGTGCCCACAACGTTCATCCTTCCCACTTTATTCCTCATAACAACCCCCTTGAGGTAGGTCCCGCTCAGAAAGAATGACCAGCACCACCCTGAGCGCCCAGATCTTCACTCTCAGAAGGTAAGCAGATTTTGGCCCAAAAATCCTGTATGAAATCCTAGAGAGCCACTGGCCAGTTGGGAGGGGGGGGGGAAGAGATTTGATTATAGAACAGCTTCACCTCTTCCTGTGCCTAAACATATCATTGGGTGTCAGGGCTGAGACTGGTTTTCTTAAATCAAAAGAAAATTATGGCTTGGAAGGGGTATCACAAAGATCTGTGCACAGCAGAGAGAGAGAGAGGGGGGGGGAAACTTCCCCTTACATAATATCAACACTACTGTAGTTTCCGGGTAGAAAAGGAAAGGTGGCACTCTTCCCCTCCCAGCCCCCACTCCCCCATGCAGAATTAACTTTTAGAATTCACAGTCCAATGCAATGTGATCAGAACCTGAAAAAGTGGTTTGTTTGTGTGTTTGTTTGTTTTAGGCCCAGGATTTCCCAGCCAGCATAATAGCTAGTTGTGCTGGTTAAGGTGGATGTGGGACTTAGCAAAAAAATAAAAATCAGAGGATAGTAAACGACTAAACACACACACACAAAAAAATTAAATTAAAAAAATCAGAGGATATGAATAGCAACCACTTTTTCCCAAGGTCATTTAAATCGAACCCCCACACTCCAGGACAGAATATATCTTCAGAATATCAAATGCTGAGGAGAAAGAATACTGGAAAGCTGTCACTTTCATGCCCTGCTTTTGAACTTTCTGAGGAGGAAGCATCTGGTTGGCCACTGTGGGAAACAGGATGTTGGTCTAGTTGGGCCTTTGGTTTAATCCCATAGGGCGCTTCCACTATTTTTTATATTCTCCTCTAATGTTGTATATCTTCAAAAGCTTGAAACACTTTAACAGTCAGAGTCCCGATACCTAGTTTCCTTGCCACAACTACAGTGAAAGCAAAATACAGGAAGTCCACATAAGTGTCTCTTGCAACACTCTGGTATGATGCTAAGAATATTAATATAGGAATGAGTGGATGGACACGTACTTCAACAAAAATTATATGGCTTCAGGAAGTGTGGAACCCTTATATTTGACAGTATATCAAGACTAATTAGTGTTGTTGACATGCAGATTTGGAAGGAAGTATCCCCACGTTTCTGTTTTTCGATGATGCTGCCATGTGAAAATTTTGATTTGTTTACCTGTACTCCACATTTTTACCCTACATTTCCACAAAGAAAAGAAAAAAAAGAACTGTAGAAACAAAACTTTTAGCTGGGTAACAAACATCACTGAAGAGGAACAATATAACAAAATTGTCATAACAATCAACAAACGTCAAAACAGCTTAAAAGGCCAGATTGAAAGTAGCAAGAGGGAGAACTCTCTGCCATTCTGAAGGGTGTGCATTCCACATTCCATTAGAACTCTGATTTTGCAATGGAGTATTCATCAGGAACAACTTTAAAAAGTGTATTTCAAGAGCAGATTAACTGCTTGAGCACATGGATACTAGTCAAGACATGAGCTATGCATTAAAAAAATAAATATTGCAATGTTTGAACTGAAAAATGAGAATCCTGTAGAATTTGTGGGCAGTGCTTCCAAATGAGACTTTTGATTTTGCAGCCAACTCACAGAATGTTGAAAGAGGTCTAGGTGTCCTTGTCTTCCATTTGTAACCTATGTTTTCCTACAGCTTCTTCCATCATTTTTCTTACCATCAAAAATTTGTGAAGTAAGGAAAGATGGGATCGCTATGCAATATTTTTTTGATTAGTAGCACAAGAACCAGAGGAAGCACCTCTGATCTTTTCATATGTGTTATCTCAGCAGCTGTAATAACTGGACTAAAGCAAAAGAGACTCTCCCCACCCTTGCTACTGCCTACCATTGCTTCCAAAGCCTTTAGGAATAATGACAGATTCAGAGAGAGTAGATTATGTAAGAATTCATCTGGCACAGGTTATAAAGAATCTGGTGACTATATTCTACCGTTGATAACTTTGAGGAACTGACTATGGTTCTTTTATTTAATAACTAACTGCCCTGAAAAAAAGTCTTTGTATTCCTTACTCTCGCTGTTATATATTCACAAAAAATTGCACATTGCTGTTATTTAATTTTATATTTTGTTATTGGTTTCATTTTTGTATTTGCAGCTGGTTTTAGCTTAAGAATATGTTTTAATTGTTGGAGCTATTTTGTCAGCTACCTTGAGTGATTTTACTGGGGAGGTGGACACATGGGTAATTTTTAAAATATAATATATAATGAAAACAATATCAATTGATATTGCTTTTATTTATTTATATTGTTTGTTAATAGCAAATTGATATTGTGTATTAATTATTAATATAGTTTATTTCTAATGATGTTATACTGCTTCTGTTAATGAAATGAACTGTTTGCTTGGAGTGCTAGATTATAATTTAAAGTTTAGTGTCGTAATGAATTGGTAGATAATCTTATTCTTGTGTTGTGAGCTGCTTTCCATGTATATAGAAAAGCAACATGCAATTCAAAGCGGATAAGTAAAGTATGGCCCCTGTGTCAGCTTTTGCAGCCATCCGTCCACCACCAGGGATAAAATTGGGATCAGAGGACTGAAACTGCTAGAAACTTTTATAATAATTATTCACATTCTGTCAAAACAGTTTTGAATTATGCCAGGGTTTTCTAGGATTCCAACAAATCCTTTATTCTTGAGCTCTAAGTAATTCAGAATGCTTGAAAGGACTTTGTATTGGTTAAAGCCCTCCACGTTTTGGCTGGGGGAATTCCTACAAGCATCTGGGGCCTGTAATCCAAAAATATGAAAGTCCCATGCATAAACATGCATTTTATAAAGTTAATAGCTCTTACCCATTCAAGACATCATAGTCATTGTCGTCATTGGCATCAACATTGTCGTCATTGTCGTTGTCGTCATCATCATCATCGTTGTTGTTGTTGTTGTTATTGTTGTTGTTATTGTTGTTGTTGTTGTTGTTGTTGTTGTTGTTATTGTTATTGCTGTTGTTGTTGTTGTTGTTGTTTTATTATTATTATTATTATTATTATTATTATTATTATTATTATTACACCAGCCAAAGTCAAAATTATAAAAACATTGACTGGTACTATATAACAGATACAAGGATACAAGTTTTAACCAAAAAGCTAAATAACTGTTAAATATTGGCAGATACGTATGCTGTTCCTAATATTGACATTTTTGTAGCTCTGATGGTGAGATTTCTGAGATCTGTAACTGTTTATAGTACTGTGTGACATTTCTTGATATTGTTCCCAAAGCCCCAATGACTATGAGGACCACTAAAGTGTGAAAATTCTTTATTTTCAACTCTGGCATCTCCTGGAATTGCAATGTCAGTGATCCGGACCTTTCTTCGTTCTATTACTACTGAACAGAATAGAATAGAATAGTTTATTTATAGTCCTTAGACCAGTCACATAAGTATAAAATCTTATAAAACCTTATAATTACTAACTCTTAGTATTCCATTAGAACATGTTGGCATACATACAGCTGGGAGCTAATATCTAATTGGTATTTAACTTCTGCAATCGAAGTATTGCTACACAGAATTTCGCAACTTGATAGGTGATCTGCATATCAACATCCAAGAGAAGGAACTCAAGCCTATTTCCCTCTGAACGTCCTGGGATTCTCTCTATTAAGGGGGTAATAGTCTCTTTTCGCACTGCTTCATACAATGGGCAGGTGAAGAACATATGCTGTATGGTCTCAATCTCCTTCAGGTGGCAGGAGCATAACCTTTCAGCAAAAGGAGTATTACTACTGTGTCTGGTGTGTTGTGTTCAAAGTGTCTATCCGTTTGGGTATGGAAATCCCACAAATGACTTCATCATTTTCTGACACCTTCTCTACCTGATATTCCCATGGGGTTTTGGAGGCCAGCAAGTTATATTTTTTGCATAATTACCAGTGCACTAACCTTGCTGCTCTATAATGTCTAAATTGTTGTTGTTGTTGTGAAATACCAGACACAGTCGATCACAATTATAAAAACATTGACTGGTATTATATAACAGATACAAGTTTTAACCAAAAACCTAAGTATCTGTTAAACATCAGTGCAGTATGTATGCTGTTGCTAATATTGCCCTTTTTTGTAGCACTGATGGTGTTATTTCTGAGAACACTTATAATACTGTGTGAGATTTCTTGATAATTGTTCTCAATATCAAGAAATTAATACTATCACTACTACTATGTTTGGTGTGTTATGTTCAAGGGGTCTATCAGTTTGCATCTGGAAATCCCACAAGACCTTGACTTCATCATTTTTGACACCTCATCATCATCATCATCATCATTATTATTGGCCAGCAAGATTATCTCAACTCATGGTAATCCTATGCAGAACTTTCTAGGTATAAAGTACTCAGAAGCAGTTTACCAGTCTCTTCTTCTGTGCGTGGTCTGGCACCGTGTAGTTTACCCAAGGCTACACGTGCTAGATTTTTTTTTTGGGTA